CTGACTCCACCTCACTGCCCTGCAAGTAATATGTTCTGCCTCTGCAAAGCTGTATGTAGCCTTTTGTACTACTGGCTGCTTCTAGACATGTGTTTTCTGCTCTGTATTTTCATAGCACATTGCTCTGCTGCTGCACTGTGTGCACTCTGGGATCTTTTGCAAAAAGCAATGGGATCCAGTCAACTGACGTAAACCAAATAATTCCCATGATTTCTCTTGCCAGGTCCCATTTCTCCACCAGTGTTTGTGAGCTAGACCTCAGTATGTACCAAGTGGTCAGCAGCTGGCAGGAAGCACCAGCAATCACAGCAATCCTCACAGCTCAGTTTGCAGCAGGCTCTTTGGATTCCTGCCTGTCAGTCATACACAGACTTCAGAGCGCAGTTAATAGGGTATTTAAGAAGGAAAAAGTTGAAATCTGACAGATGTTTTTCACTGAGCTCTTCCTGAAGCAGCAGACTGCTGGGGCCGAGTCAGTGCTGCAGACCTGGGAAAACCTGCAGCATGTAGTGCTTTTGGATGTCCAAGGCTGCTTCCTTCCAGGGGGCATGTCCTGCAGCACAGCCCATTCTTGAATGCTGTGTCCTAGCGCTCATTCTGGGATGTGTCCTTGGCCTCTGCTTCCCTGACCGCAAGATTTCACACACTATTTGGACAGCAGGAAGAGCTTCCCACTCTTCCCAAGATGAAAGAATGAAATCTGCTCATAGGTAACTGAAAGGCAGAGGGAGAGGCATCTCCAGGATGTGCAGGGACTCAGAAGCACAGACAGAGAGATGCACCACCCTCCTCGAGGCTAGAGGCGAGCTGTGAACAAGGCTGGCACATTTGTAAGAGATTTTAATTACAATTGCTGCACATTTTATTATGCATGTGGCACAGTGTGAGGATGTTTCATACAGGCATTAAAATGCATCTTTAGGACACAAGGGAAACGTTATTTTTACTGAAAAATCTACAGATACATTGGCTTTCATGATAAGGCAAGGATCTCAGCATGTATAAGACTCAAAAGCATGAATGGAGGGCACATGCAAAATGGAAATGAATGCATGAGATTAATCTGCGTGCATTTGAAAATAGTAACAGTACATAATGCTGTGCACAGCTAAAATCTATTTTAAACTGTTTATATAGTACAAAAGTGTATGTTCTCAAGGCCTCCAGTTTGTCTGTGTGGGTTGGTCAAAAAAGTTATGACATGCTGAGAAAGCATTTGCGCCTTGTATTCCTTTTTTTTTTTTTTTTCTTAAGCAGAAAAAATGCGGGCTTAAAAGAGGAGAACCTGCAAAATGCTTAGAGGCCAGTTGTTAAGACAGTTGTTGCCTGTGCTCTCCAGGACATGCATCAGCCTCACCAACCTTTGAGCAACTGGATCTCACAGCTACTGACTGCCTCCCTCTCTGTCATTCCTCGTGAGCTTTTTCACTTAAGCCTTCTCTTTTTTTGTCTCTTGGAGGATGTGGGCAGCTCCATGTCACATCCTTCCTTGGGCTTTTCTTCCCCTTTCAACAGAGATGAGTGTTACTGAAGCACCTTGATCAGCACACTGTGCACTGAAAAATAGCTAGTTCTGCAGAAACATGCAGAAAGAGGCGTATCTCCACATGCTTTAGAATATTTCTTTCTGCACCATGTGTGTATTGTGATTTGGTATCATCTCATACTGGTGCAGAACTAAAAAACTAGGCAACCCAGTGAAAATGTAGTTTTAGGTCTCATGCTCTTTTGTATGTATCACAATAGCAATATTGGGCAAGCCCATGAGATGTCAACTTCCCAGCTGGAGAAAAGTAGCACATGGCCATCGGAGGAACAGGAGTCAACATGGTGTCAGGTGGGTGTGAGCAGGAGGCATGAGAGCTGGAGATATGAGAGCTGGAGCAGTGGCTGTGAAGAATGCTCTTACAGGGAAAATAACGATGTACTAATGCATGTAGGAGAGAAAAATCTATACGGAAGAGAAAAGATAAGTGAGAAAAACACTATCCTACCAGAATCTTCAGCTATATTAAGTACTGCTGCATTATCGTATCAAAAAGCTAACTGGGGAAGATTCCAGCCTGCCTGATGCTCTGCAGGCCACCATGTCACCTGGCCACAGATTCAGCAGCTCTGGCTCTGATCTACTTTTACACCAGCTTTGCATATCCTTCCTGAGAATACTGGCTTCAAACTGTAAGTCTTTCAACCTTTTGCTGCAGAACCAATCTCTTCTTTTTATGTTCCTGTTAACACTAGTCTGCATCCACAAAATTAGTGAAAACATACCCACCACTGACAGGCCTGGAGCATGTCCCCTTCTCTTTCCTTCACTTGTTAGGTGTGCCAGGGGTCATGGTCAGCACCAAAAGAAATTGCTTGATAGCCACGTTCAAGATGCTGGCATGCATAGTCCCCACAAGCAAACACTAAAGGGCAGCCCTTGGCCACCAGCCAGCGATTGGATGCTGGGATGAGCTTTGATCAATGCAGCGCTGGATCAATAGTGAGCACGCAAGAAAGCAAGCAGCAAAATGATATGACAGGGAATGCCATTGAGAGGGCCTGGCAGATGCCAGCAGGAACTGATTCAGAAAGGAGATGCAGCCCCACCCATTCCGCCATAAGAAAATTTTTGTTGTCAAAGTGGGTTTAATAACATCTGTCAAAATGTCAGGTGCTTTGTAGCAGGGAACTGTGCTGGGGACACCAGTCACTTTAAAGTGAGATAGCCCAGACTAACTAGCAACAAAAGTCAAGCGCCAACAAATTGCTGTTGAGCAGAACGGGTATTTTGATATAATGCCAGAAAGAGCATCTCTGCCCCTGAACAGAAAATGATGGAGATATAGAATTCAAAGAGATGCAAAATAAGTATGACAGCAACTAACAATAAAGACTACCGGACAAGAAAACAAATAAAATGATTAAGAAATAATCATACATAATTCCACCCTTTGTTCTTAAACTTATCTGTACACAAAAAAAGACTGCACTAAAAGATGTGGAATTTCTTATACTTTTGTGATATAAAGCTCTCTTACCATTATATTGTGAGTGACTCCAGCCCTTCTCATTCACTCCTTTTCAGCCTGCTGCTGTTCACCACACTGATGCTTAGCCTTAAATTAGAACATTATTTCTGATCAATCATGCCATCATAAAAAGTAAGACCTTCTTACTTATTTACTTACTAATCTTATTTGACTGTACTTGAGGGCTCCACAAGAACTAAAATGCCTGACCTATAGCAAAAGGAGCTGTTTCCTCTCCATATGACATCATCACACATTTCATTGGATTCTAACATCTGAAACATTTCTGTAAGGATTGGCTTGGACATAATGGTAAGCTCCTTGCATTTGGTCTACATTTAGCTACAGAGAGGCATTACTGATTTTTACTTTATTTTAATGCAAAATATCTGGTAAAATCCATGGGCTTTGAGAGTTTCTTTTAAGCTAAAAAAAAATAACAAACAATCCTACAATTAAAGGAGCGCACAGAAAAGCAGCAGAATATTTCTACTTATTTGCAAACATATCAATCTAAATTTTAACTTTCCTTCATGTACTCTGACTTGCTTTACCTCACATGGGAGTAGCACAAAGCACAGGAAGTCCAAAGCCAGATAATCTGCAATTACAACCATTCCATTCTGACACAGCTATGCAAAGCATCCCGCACACAGCCAGCTTTGCCTCTCCATCAGCTCACCATATCCGCCCCGCATCTCTCTTCTGCCCTGCATGTGTCCGTGTACATATTCCCTTTGGTGTGATAAGTTGGCTTCACACAGTGAATAAACTGAAAAATCCTTCAGAGCAAATGGGGAAATTTTCTTTTTTATCTTCATAACAAAAATGCCAACTATGGGGACTCATTCTTTTTTTCCCCACAATGGGTTCAATTTCTTAATGGTCCCTTTACTAGAGTCTTAATTGTAGAACAATGATTTGGGCAATGTAGGAACCATGCTGCAGCGCAAAGGCAATAGACAAAGCAGCCAGAGGGAAAGCCGTGGTCCTCTGTGCTGCATGAAGGGCTCTTCTGCTGGCAGCAGCAGCAGAAGGTTCAGAGAACAGCAAGAACTCAGCAGTCAAGAAATCCACGTTATTTGAAATTCCCATCCAGCCAGGCGTGCAGCAGTGCCCAGTGTGGGGACATGACCCTGGAGAGCAGTCTCCAGTAGCAGTGCTGAGGTCAGCAGCATTCCTGAAGCAGCATCAGCCAGGAGAAGGGCCATTTGTTCACCTGGCAGTCCTCTTTCTGATCAGTACAAAACCATACTCTGAAAGCCACCTGCTTCCAAACTGCCCACACCTCCCCACAGCCCCATAACCCAGCCAAGTACTGCTGCAGGGATTCTCTGGTGCTTCTCCTGTCTCTCAGAAGGAAGGGCACACACCAGTCACCCAGCCTGACCCCTGTAATACGTCAACCCCTCTAACTCCCGTGTGCGCACATGGATGACACAGGAGCGCTCCAAGGCTGCAGGCTTGCTGCCAAGCCACAGCAGCTGCCTTCAAGGAGCAGAAGCTGTGTGGGAGCAGGACGACGTACATCCTCAGTCCCTCCTGTTTCTTGCGGGCGTGCAATGAGGGAAGGCAGAGACTCTCGGCCCTCCTTTGGGACGCGTGATGTCAGCAGAAAGCCATGGCTCCTTCCCCAGCCCTGCTGGCACCTCAGCTCGTGTAACCCAGCATCCTCCCAGCCACCTCCCAACAGCCCTCCCCTGCGCAGTCCGCTTTGCACACAGCCCTGTGCCCTTTCCAATTAAAGAGACCCGCTCTTCCCTCCCCTCAGCCCGTTCTTTCAATCTAACTCCCCCACACTCGGCACGGCCTCCTACCCTGCCCTTAAGCGCTCCTCCCACACCCTCCACGCCGCCCCTCCCACCTCAGCGCGGCTATTGATGCCGCACTGCCCGCGTTATGTAACGGCGCGGCGCGGCCATTGGCCGCCGAGGTCGGGCGGCGCGGGCGCTGAGGTGGGGCCGCGCATGCGCGCTGATCACTCCCTTCCTCCCTCCTCCTTCTCTCGGGCAGCGGTGGCGGCAGCAGCGGGGCCGCGCGGAGCCGTCTCCTCCCGCTCGCCAGGGCCCCCAGGCCGCGCTCCCAGCCGGGTGAGGGGAGCGGGGCCGGTCGGGATGCGGCGAGGCGGGCCGGTCGACCGGCCTCAAGGGGATGGGGGTGGCCGCGGCCCAGACGCAGGCGCGGAGGCCTCCCCGCCTCGGGCCGCGCTGCCGGGCTCCGCGAGCGACGGGAGCGGGCTGCAGCCGTTTCCTCCGCCTTCCCGCGCTCCTAAGCGCCCCGGTCGAGGGGAGCCGTGAGGCGGCGCGCCGCGGCGCTGCGGGCGGGCCGGCTGGCTGGGCCCGGCGTCGCTCGGCGGGGCGGCGGAAGCGGCTGCGGCGCCGCGCTCAGGGCCCCGGAACCGCCCGCTCCGTCCGCGTATTACAGGGAGCGGCCCGCGCGGGGCACCGAGCGCCGCCGTCCCGCTGCCCGCAGCGCGTGCTCTCGTTCCGCGGCGCGTTGCTGTGCGTTCCCGGGCGCTCGTGCTGGTTTATTTCAGAGCAGTGGGCCGGCGTGCTGCGCTCCGGGAGGGTGTGCCTGGCAGCGGGAGCGGCGCCGCTCTGTGTGCTGTGGGCACGCTGACGGCTGCGGGTGTGCGCGGCTTCTGTTTTCGATATCGAACTTCAGGATAGATTTTAGCCGCTTTCTTAGTGTGCTGATGGTTCGAGTAATCTCAGTTTTCCAGTAATTAAGTATTTATTTCACGTGTTCCAGCTTCATTAATGTAACTTGCAGCATTTAAATGGTGTTTTTCTGCTTGCAGGCATCGTAGGGAGGTTGGTATGTGTGAGCAGATGTTTTTGTTTGTGTTTCCTTGTTTGTGTCATAACTCGAAGCATCAGCTGTCTGATGCAGGGCTTGTGACCGAGCTGTTGCAACCTATGAGTTATGCTCTTTTCAAGGGACTGACATACAGAGTAACACACAAATGCTTTTTGGAAATTTCTGCCAGTAGCCCCTAAATTTTGAAGGATTTCTATAATGCCAACAAAATAGAACCAAAATATATTCAGTTGTTCCTTTTAGTGTGTGCAAAGCGATTGGCAATACCTCTACTTTTTTCTTTTTATTTATTTATTTATTTATTTATTTTTTGTAATGTGGTTGTGATGTTCTTGTTGAGCCAAGCTGTACATGAAGGGAGTGAGGCCCTGGCCGGGATGTTTCAGAGTCACTGTAACATCTGCTGAAACTGAAACACAGGCTGGTATTTTCAGTTTAACTTACCACTGCTTCTTATTGCCACATGTATTTCTGTACGCTTGTTAATAAAACTGGTGTTTTCTTGTGTTCAGAGAGATTTGATTAGTCACGTAGAAGGATAATAGCTATGGAGTTACTTGGAGTTATGAATTTCTTTGGAGAAAGTGATGAGGAAAGGTGAGGGAGCACTGAAGCTGTAGCGTGACTCTTCTCCAAAGGGCTGGGTAGTGGTGTTATACACCATGAAAAAGGGGACCATTGCCTGGGTTTGCAGTGGTTGCAAGCTGTTTTGGGTCAGGACTGTCCTGCTTGGAGTTGAACACCGTGATGTTTTGTGTCTAGGAACTTATGCAGTACTAGTGAATTTCCAGAAGCAGACGAAGTTTCAGATAAGCTTCCATTTACAGGAGTTGTACTGTGCTGGAGCTCAGTGTGCGGCAGGGTGAACAGCCCACTCAGTGGAAGGCCTCAGTCCTTGTGGGAAGGACTGTGAGGCAGAGCAGTTGTGTCCATGCAGTGTGTTTTCCATCCATGCAGTGTGTTCTCCTTAGCAGCAGACACAGTGCACAGAGGGGTGATAACTAGTCAGCCGACCTGTTTATAGCATGTAGGCCTTAATAGTTGTCTTTGAAAAATCAGTAGCTTCAGTAGCTGTCCTGAGCTTTTCTGTAAGCCCCACAGCTGGATTAGGCATGGGACACGAGGGACTGTAGGGAAGATAATAGCTGGAAGTGGGCTGCTGCCTTACGTAACCACAGTCTGAATTCTGTTCTGTTGGTGCGCCCGAATCCTGCCTGGCGTCTGCTCTGGGGGTGGGCTGTGAGCTGAGCTGGGTGTCCTTGTGGGCTGTGTGCAGGTGGAGTGCTCCTGCTGCAGAATATGCTGCTCTGCTTCTCTGTGAAATAAGGTTTTTGTGCCTTGTTTCTGTTCGTGGTGGACCTTCTAATGGCAGGTGGTGGTGGTGTCAGCTTCCTTTGTGCTTCTGGGTCACGTAGAATAGTGGCTTCTGGTAGAGGCAGCTTTATGTCCTTTCAAGAAATATGCAGGCATGCCTGTAAAATCAGCTGAAAATTGCAAAGGTGGCCACCTCTGAAAGCATCCTATGATAAAGAAGGATGCTGCATCATTCTTACCATTCCTGACTCCAAAGCTGATTATAAACAGGTACCAGAAGACAGCGATACAGCTTGGGGAATAGTGATTTCCTTTTCTTGAAACCTATTCCAAGTTCCAGAAATAAGAATTGAGTATCTGTTAAACAGTGTTCAAATTTACATGTTGAGGGGTTTTTAAAGGAAGAAGCCTTAGAATGGACTAGAGAGCTATTGTGTCTCTTCAGAAAGCTACTGAAACCAGAGGGTCTCCATGAAGTAAGGAGCTTGAACAGATGTCTGTTGTGTATGAATTATGGGAGTTGTGGGTCAGAGCGCAGGGGCAGAGCACATGACTACTTACATTCATAGTTACAACTTCTGAGTCAGCTAGCAGCACTAGTTTCTCACACTTGCAGACTAAATGTCTTCTTTCTGTTTGTAGATATGGCTCGTGGACAGCAGAAGATTCAGTCACAGCAGAAAAATGCCAAAAAGCAAGCTGAGCAAAAAAAGAAGCAAGGGCATGATCAGAAGGCTGCAGCCAAGGCTGCCTTGATATATACCTGCACTGTCTGTAGGGTAAGAGAAAGTGAAGATGAAGTATTATTGTACACAGATGTGTCTCTAGTAATTGAGATATGAGAAACTGTGAGAGGCGTGTACTGATCTGTTTCAGGTAGTTTTCTTGCCTTTTGAATTGCAAGGGTCAGTGGGCACTGTTAGTATGCTGTGTCTAAAGTGTAGGAGGTTTGAGAATACTTCTTGATCAACCTCTAGATAGACCAGTTCCATCATACAGAAAAGATCTTTCTGTCTTAACATCCATGGTTATCAGTGTTAATGAAGAGAGGGAAAAGTCATATTATGTGGTTCAATATACACCAGCTTCTGTTAGAATAGATGTTTTAACAGGAAATCAGAAATTAGAGCACTGTTTGGGTTATACTTCCCTTCTGGTTGTTTTTCCTGTGCATATGCTCATTTTGGAGCTGAAGGATTAATTTGTCATTTTCACTTAAATGGTCAGTTTTAGGATTGATTAGGATAGATTTGTCACTTTGAGTGTCTTAATCAGGGTTCCAAATTAGGTTCACAAGTAAAATAAAACATGGGAGGATAACAGGTTTTGTACTGTCCTGTAGCTCTTGTACTGCACTTTAAGTTAAATGTTTCTCTTTAATCAGACACAAATGCCGGATCCCAAGACCTTCAAACAGCACTTTGAAAGCAAACATCCTAAGACTCCACTTCCTCCAGAACTGGCTGATGTTCAGGCATAAAGATATCTACAGGTCATTACTTTTATCAGATAATCATTTAAAAATTAAGGTATATTATCACTTGTTTGTTTGTTTTTTTCCTCACTCACTTGGACTTGAAAGATGCTTTATTTTTTTAATATAGAAATTAAGTATAGGTTAAATTTATGCCGTTCTTACGTGGTTGAAATGGTTGTCATTGCATGCAAGATCTTTTGAAGGGAGGTATTAACATTATTTGAAATGGTCGTCCTTAGAGATATAGGAATACTTTATTCTTCAGTTACTGCTTTGAAATGTTAGCTTCCACAGTTCTTGCTTGGAACAAAATATTTATGATAAATGTGCCTGTTGTTAGAAACCATGTAATGAAAGCAGAATTGTTTAGCGCATTTCTAATGATTCAGCCTTTTTGTTCCTGAAGTTATGCAAGTGAATGCGGGGTTTTTTCTGCATTCAGATACAAGATTGAACCTCTATTTTCTCTCTAGAAGGTTTCTTAACAGCCAGTTGTTAGATTGTAACTGAAACAAGTTACAATTAAAGGCTGGAATAAGGTGAAAAACAGAGTTGCGGTATTTCTTTCACTCTAAGGTAAACAGCATTGTGTAACAGTTCAGCTTAACTGAGTTATTCTTATTTTTTATAGGTGAAATCATGGCACCTATTGACTCTTCTACTGTCAGACCTTACATAACAAACCTGCAGCTGCTTTTCTAAAACTGTTGATCAGCAAAAATGAAGGGGCTACAGAAACATTCATATTTTTATGCTGTTCCCTCTTGGGCTTCATGCAAAGACAATTGTGGAAATGTACAGTTGTGCCCTCTTTGGAAATCCTGAAAAATCAGTCCATACTTGTTATAAAAACAAAAAATTTTTTACAATTGTAATTATATTGATGTTCATATTGTGTAAAATAACTCATTTAATAAAGTAGTACTTTGATTTTACAATATCACAGATTAAATGCTTGTAGAAGTTCTGTTTTAACTTTCTGCATTATCTGCCTTATAAAACAATAAAAGACAAAGTGGAATCTTCCCCATCCTGCTAAAACACGAGCAGTATCATTCCACTGAAAGTAATGTACATTACAGTAAATTAATTTTAACGCGAGAGGGAAGCTGCTCAGATTGACTGTTCGGTGTGGTGCCTGCTTGAGCTCAGTCACTAATGTTCCAGTTACTGACTCAAGAGGCACAGCAAGCTCCCGAGAGGCTGCAATAGTATTGTGAGACTTTGTTCTACGGTTTTGTCCTGTGTATTGGAGTCAATTTCTACAAGCCATTTCAAATGGGATTCCCGTACTGTGAGGGCTTGAGCTAGTTCCCTAGAGTCTTGCACTGGAGAGACTGGTGATCCCTAATAGTTGGTAGTTGGCCGAGGAAGCTGGGAGGTGGTAAAGTTTAATGCTTTTGTGTATGCTGGCTTAAAAGATGCTCGCAAATATTAGTTTAAAAACAATTCTGCTCTTAGTTGAAAATTTAATTTGAGAAGAGTACTGAAGTTACTCGAGCAGTCAGCCACAAGTGTTCACTCACAAATGCATCTGGTTATTTTAGTAGCGGCTCTTGAAGAAATACATAAAATAGCCAGCCATTAATAACCTTTCTTTGCAACGAGCCTAAAATAAGCCTGTTGGAAAAGAGCCAAAATAACTGAAATGATATGGCTAGCTTAAGAAATTGCATGTGATTAAAGTTGCATTGACAAGAAAAAGCTGGATAATAGCTCTCCGGCCAAGAGCATTTGAGAAGCTAAACATAATTAGCCTTTAAGTGTTCTGGGCTCAGTTCTAATCCCAGATGTACGGTGCAGAAGTAGTGGAAAAACATCTGATTTGTTCTGGAGGATCTGCTGTACAAAAAACCAACCTATCTTTGGCATTTGGAGGGGGCTTATTTAAGAGCTATCATCTAGAACTCACAGTAAGAAGCACCACTAGAATTGCTGTGATTTATTGCGGTTACAAGAGATGTAAAAACTCTGGCAGTCCGAGTAACCCTTGCTACACAGCAGGACTGTACATCTGACCTTCACATGGCTTCCTGAAGTCTAGGACCATAGTCTCAAAGACTCATTCACTTAAAAGAATGCACTTGGTATTTTATTATATAAAGTCAAAGCCTTTGTCTTCGTCCACTCATTTGCTTTTTAATGAACTACTTCTGTGAGACTAGCTTCCTGTCCTCTTTGCTGTGACAGTTTCTGTGTAAATACTTATTTTGACATGAAGTTTCTCTGTATTATAGTCACTCCAGGATAACCTGAATACCACTTTTATAATGTTGTTCTCCTCTGCGAGTAATCCACTGCACTTGTACACCTGACATCAGAATGTAACCCTTCATTTGATTTTCTTTGTTGTTATCAATAAGTATATCCTGACAAACTGGTTCCCACAGAGTAAGAGATCTGCTGTATGGAGGAGAGGTACTTAAATGTTCTGATACTGTAGTCTGTCTGAAATACACCAAGTGCAAAATGGATACAAATGTTTCTTGCACTGTTTGGTAATTGGTAATCTGGTTTTACTCTGGAAAATGTTCTGGGATGTATCCCTGTAGTTTCATCTTGAGGTGAAGTATATGTTCTATTCTTTCAATTCAAATTGTGTAGCATTAAATAAAAGGGTTTTGTTTTATAAGCACACTCAATTAATGAGCGTTCAAAAGCTGGAAAGTTGCATCAGTAGCAAGATGGTGAAGTTAGAATTGTATTTTCAAGACTGTATGATGCTCAATTAGAAAACACCTTATGAAGTAATGTTTTTTCTGTGTAGCTTCTAGAAGGCAAGAGCGATCCTCAGTCATTAGGACCCCTCGTTACAGTAGCTGCAGTCTCAAATACAGGAACAAGTGAAATCTACAACTGAACTGTTTTAAAGGCTTTATGAGTGTAGTGGGGATGCTCTACTAAATGAGGGAATAGTTCTTATTTAGGATATCTGTGATATTCTTTTTATCTAAAAAATCAGAGGAAGGACTAGGAGCCCTTCACCTTTTCCTGATCTGAAGAATGACACCCTGTTATCTGGCTAAAGACACAGTTGTGCATTGTAATGTGTCTGATTAAAGATAATAAAAATAAAATGTAAAATGTCATATTTTCTGCCTGCTTTTAAAAACAAGTATTACTGCATTTAAAGATTAACGTTGTAGCTTTGGACAGTCCTGGGGCTTGAAGCCATCTAACTTTAAAAGAGAAAAATTGGCATGGAAGATTTCCCATGTTCCCATGAGAAAGATCCATCTTTGTGTAGTGACAGTTTTTAGGTGAAGTATTGGTATGGATATCAGCTGTTGTGGGTTCTTGTGGAACAACGTTAAGAAATGATTGGGGATTTTCAAAGCCTGCATCTCTTTCAAAGCCTGGGAATCTCTGAATTGCATCTGAAATCAAATTTCAGCAGGGCTTCAAATGTTTGTAAAAAATTCTGTCTATTCTCAGAGAATGTGTCAGCATCTGTAGTTGCAGTGAGGTCATCTCAGGGTCTCGCAGTGATCAGTATCAGCAGTTTTGCATTTTGCATTGCCTGGACTTACAGAGGTAACACAGAGGTACAGACACTCAGATTTAGCCTCTCTAAGAGATTCAAATTTCTTGCTGTCAAAATGCTGTGTGAAAACTCTGAAATAGAAGTGGAAGGTGGTTGCTATGTATCCTGAAGGAAAGAGCTGGCTTTCTGCAGTGCTCTTGGAACGCCCCTGGGGTCTGTCCCCTGTGGTTATTTGCTGTTAAGCTGAAAACACTTCATCTCAAGTAAAGCTAATGACCAGGGGCTGTTTGCAAACCACGTAGTAATGAAGGAATTTGTAGCATTTCTGTAAACTGCGTTGAAGTATTCTCCTGTCTTGATAAAATGAGGTAATGGATAGAATTTCTTTTATTATCGGACACCAATGGGCTTCAGATCTGCTTTGTTTCCTGTTTTCACCGAAGAGACATGGGGGGTATCTTGCTTTCCTAAGAGAATAGTCTTCGTGAAGGCTGACCAGTGAGGTCAGTCAGAATTCACAAAAGCCAGCTTGTATTTCTGTCTGCTCAGCCCTGTTCTGCTGTATGTAATACTGGGGCCTTGATTTACCTATTTAGAACCTGGCAGGTTTTGTAGTGGACTTCGAATTCAGCCCCAAAAATCAGCTTTGAATGTGTATGCAGTGTGTGATCTTCCATATTCTATAGAGATGCTGCTGTAGTCCAGACAGTGAAAAGGTGTGAAGTTCTGTCTAGAATTTTCCTATCAGAGTTTTGAAAGTTATTTGGAAATTGTTAATGCATTCTCTACTGTCTTTTTTTCGTAAGGTTAAGGTACAGTAGAGACAATGTGAGGGAGCTGTGTTATCAGGGTAGTTTTCAAAGGTAGAATAGGTTGGATATATATTTTCTACAATTCTCTGATGTGGCTCTTAGCAAAGGGGTTTCTGGGAAAGGAGGAATCGGCATTTGTCCCAACATCATCATCCAACACAAGTCCATTCAAGCAGCCTCAAGTTTTTCAGGAAATACAGCACAGCTATCCTCTGAAAAATACTGTCCATAGCGTGTATAAAGATCAGTACAACACTGATGAGATGGTGAAAATATTTGTGTTCCCCATCCTTAGCTGTTACTAAACTGCAAATGATGCAAGTATAACTAAATGTAGGAGATCTTTCAGAGAAATAAGGGCTAAGGGAAATCTCAAAAAGCTGCGTAGCCCATCTCCTTGCTCTCAGATTGGGTCAGTTCTGCCAACACTAGAACAATTCCTTTTCTTTCTTGTTCTTAAACGCTTACAATGAAAAGGATCCCATGACTGTGTAAGCAGCGTGTACCACTGTTGAACCCCACAGCTGGAGGCTCTTGCAGTAAATCCCTGCTAGTTTGGTGAATTATTTACTGTTACTGGCAACAGATTTGACAAATGTGTCCTCATTTGAACACCGCTGTTATGTCCTAGTAGTTTTCAGTAAACCCAGGTAATTAATGCTCTTAACAGTACCTCTAAGTCTAGAGATTGTGCTCTCCCCTGGGTCCTTCAGTCTGACCATGAGTCTTAACGTGACATGAGTCTTAACTCATGTTGTCCAAAACGTGACCCAAAGTGTTGACAGAGGCCAGCGCAGTGTAGAACTGGGACTTGCAGACATCAGTTCTATCAACACACTGGAACTGTATTTGCCTTCTTCCAAGCACATCACACTGGGGCCACCCTGATAATCTTCACTTTCTGTCTATGTATTTAATTCATACTTACTGTCTTTAGTGGGCCTCAGACAAATCTACCAAGACAGCAGCACCCCAGTCTCCTGTACTGTTTGTAGTTCATCCGAGTATGATTTCAGTAGGGGATCTTGTGGAGGTCCTCTTTCACTCTGCAGTCTGAATTGTGTGTGGACATGTAGAATGGGATAGATCCTACACAAAGCCCTTCAGTTTTCTGCTTGAGTATCTTCCCAAGCTCCCAGCAAAAGCCTTGGTACTGACTCTCTAAGAGCACTGGTGGTCGGTAAGGATTGGAGCTTACAGCTTCACCTGTGAGGACTTCACCCAATGACCGTGTCTGAGTCCATGCATCCATGGCACCAGGCCTGTTTTCACGTGAGATGGATGTCAGTAAGGTACGGCATACCTTGTCCCTGACAAATCTGGGTTGGCAGATTTGCCTACTTCACTGACTGGCAGAGTTCCTTGTTTCTTCTTATATTCCTTGTATTTATCCTTCTGCTATCTTTCTCCGTGCTCTGTGTTCTCAGAGAGGAAGATGAATGGTCCACACTCATGTGGGTCACAGCTGGAGTATTGTATGTCAGGTGAGTCACCTATTACCAACACGAATGCCATCTAAATACTCTGAATACTTTAAGCCACTCTTTCCATTTCTTAGCATGCTTTGTTTAGTTAGCTTTTGAGTGTATGTGAACTTAAGTCAGAAATGTTCTTTATTTCTTATTAGTACAGCCTATCTTTCATTTTCT